CTGGGGGCTGATTCATCCAGGAGAAACAAAGACGAGGTCCTCAGCTCACTAGCTCTTCCCGGGGGTTGAGGCCTTCCAATGACAAGGCCTCCTTATTCTTTCCTTTTAGTGCTGCCACGTTGCATTGCCGGGCGATCTGCTGGTTCCCACGAATGACTCCGATGCCATGCTTGGTGGGGAACTTAAGGGCCAAGTGATAAGAGGACATGGCTGCCCCTAGTGCATGAAGGGTTGGTCTTCTCAATATCGTGTTGTAGGGAGAGGGAACCTTCACCACTAGGAACTCATGCATCCAAGTCACCTGGTGTGGCGCTGTCCCTACTGTGATGGGTAGGGTAATTTTTCCTTCCAGCCTGATGATGCTACCGGAGAAGCTGACAAGGGGAGTGTCAGCTGGTTGGAGTTGCTCTGGCACGAGCTTCATTCTCTCATAAGTGTTGTAAAAAAGGATATTGGCTGACGAACCGCTATCCACCTAGATCTTCTTCATCATAAAATTGGAGATGATGGTTGTGATCACGAGGGAATTGTCATGGGGGACAGTAACCCCCTCTAAGTCCTCGTCGGTGAAGACGAGGGCATGTGGACAGCTCGACCTCTGCGGAGCGTTCGGGTACTTCTGCTTTTTCGGGGTAGGCTCCTGGATGTTGAGCTGCCTGGCGTAGGCTTTTCGAGCCGAGGCCGTGGCTCCACCCGAGGCCATGCTCCTGGAAATGACGTCGATGACGCCTGCAACTTGTTGGTGCTAGTGCTGCTACTACTGCTGGGGTGACGAGGCGCCGACCTCTCTCCCGATGAACTGCTTGAGGTGTCCTCGGCGGATGAGGTAATCTATTTCATTCTTTAGATCGTAGCAGTCCTCAGTGTCATGCTCAGTGCCACGGTGGTACTTGCAGTACTTCATAGGGTTCCCCCTCTTGGGGTTCCGCTTCAGCTTCGTTGGCCATTTCACAAACTTCTCTTCCCCTATCTGCATCAGTATTTGGGTGTGGGTGGAGTTGAGTGGCGTGTAGTCCTTGTAGGCCATTGTTGTCTTTGTTGCCATTGTTGCTGGGGTGGCGCTGGTCCCCACCTTTCCTCTTCTTCTCCGGGGGCCCGTCGTGGCACTCGCCTGCCCTTTCTTGGTTTTCCTCGACCGAAGCCTCTTCGGCTGTGATGTATTTTTTGGCCTTTTGAGGAATTCGAGTTTAGTCTTCAGCGAGGTCTTAGCATCTGAGCACTTGAGAGCCGAGCCGAGGTAGAGTCCGTTGATGGCTACGTGCATGGAGGCCATAGGGTCGAGGTCTCGAACTTTGAGTTCTTCTTTCTTAAAGTGGTCGATGTAAGACCGCAGGCTTTCACCCGACTCCTGTTTAAGCGACATCAGAGAGACTACACTCTTCTGGCAGCGTCTATTGCTAATGAAGCGGGCGAGGAACAAGGTTGTAAATTGCTCCCACGAGCTGATTGATCAAGGAGGAAGGCTGGAGAACCAGTGACGAGTGGCCCCCCTAAAGGTAGCCTGGAAGGTTTGGCATGTCAAGGCGTCAGAGTAGCTGTATAGTATCATGAGCGCCCTGAAACCCTCTAGGTGGTCATCAGGGTTAGTACTTCTGTCGTACGTCTCCAGTGTGGGAGCCTTGAAGTGTGGGGGGAGAGGCTCCGAGATGATTTCCGCGGTGAATGCGTCTATGCGGCTGACGGAGTTGCCATGACTGGTTGAGGCGTCGGCTCGACTCTCCTTTACCTGGCGGAGTTCGTCCTTTACGGCCCCAAACTTGGCTCTCAATTCGGCGAGCCCTGGGTCAGCATGGGCATGGGCCCCGCTCCTGTCTTCGCGGACCTGGTGGGTGTCAGCTCGAACTCCTGAATATTCTGAGATATGGTCCATGCTCCTCTGGAGGCGCGACAATCGTTCAAAACGTCCCTGAGATCTGAGACGGGAGGTGGGGTGGGGTGGCGTCGGCTCTCGCTTTGGGAGCGAACTCCAGGGCGGCCGTGGTGCTCGCCATCGTCTTGTGGGGCCTCCCTATGGTGGCGGTGGTGCTGCTTTGAAGATTGATGATTGTCTTCGGATTGAGCGGGCACACTCTCCCTTCGGCTAGGAAGACAAATATTCCTTCGAGGTGAGTCCAGGAGGTGGTTATTGCTTGATTTTGACGGTTTGACCAGCGGATTACCATGGCCGAGAGCCAGTGGCTTGACGTTCTCGTGTCGGCCTTGATCTTGTGACACCCCAGTGGGTCGGTCGCCTTGAGAGGTACCTCCTGCTCGAGGGCAAACTTCCTTCATTCGTTGGGTGAGGCGGTCCAAACGATCGATGATGACTTGAAATTGCTCGTAGGTGACCAGGTTCTGGTTGTTCTTGGCTCTCCTCACCATGACTTTCGAGCTTATAGGGTGTTTTGATTTTGAGTATTCTTACTTTTTATCCTAAAGTGGGTATCATCTTAGCAACGGTTCCCACAGACGGCGCCAATTGTTGCTCCGCGGATTGGCTTGGGGCAACAAAGTAAATTCACTCTTTAGGTTCTAGGTGTTGGCCGAGGACCCCCGGGCCTCGAAAAAGGTTGACCGAAGCCAAAGACTGCAAGTCGAGGCGAAGTGTTCCTTCTGAGGACTACGGTAGCCGATGACTGTTGGTCGAGGCGAGGTGTTACTTCCGAGGACTATGGTAGTCGAGGACTGCAGGTCGAGGCGAAGTCCCAGATGGCCAAAGATGCTGCAAGACAAGGAGTGTTAGAGGCCTTGGGATGGATACCGAGGCAGAGGCTTTGATGCTCAAGTTAGTACGAGGTGTAGAATAAGGAAGGGTGCAGGAGAGCCCTTGGAGAGAGTCCTCGGATGCACCAGATCTCCCTGAATCAATGCTAAGAAAACAAGGATAGTGCAGGGAGTAAATGAATGAGTGATGTTGGAGTTTCTCTATTCTGGCCCCTTTTAAGGGGCAGCTACATCTTATTTATACTTGAGCGTGCTGGGGGTAGGTGAAGATGAATGCCCCGGATGAGAGCCGTACAAGGTCAGGCTGCAGGCCCTGACATGTACGCTAGACAGTTATGTGATTGGCTCCGTATGAAGGCAGCAGAGCTCCATCCTACTGTGGCTGACGCTAGTAGGCATTAGTGGGCTGGGCCTCCTAACCCTATGTGGGCTGGGCCAAGCTAACCCACATCAGGGTCTAATTTTGTTCACATAAGGCTATGTTTGGTTGCAATGCAATTTTATTCGCACTAGTACAAGTGTATGAGAGTGCTGCAAATGAAAAAAATGCAAAATTTGGTTTAATTTTATTTTGGATTTTCCTTTCTTATTTGACTTCATTTTTATTGCAACCAAACAAAGTAGGCAAAATTTGAAACAAACATAAATAAAAAAACTTGTACCCAAATAATTTGCACTACCTTAATTTTGTATCAGTGCAAAACACAGCCTAAATTACCATTTTATCAAATATGTGTCCTAATAATCTATTCCCGTAGAAGAATGACACATGCATGAATACATATTCAGCACAGAAAAGGGGTCACATTGTCTCTCTCGAGGGATGATGTGACCATTTTGAATTGTGCATTGGACATCTAGATTGACTGTATACATGTTGACTCTCTGCCTCCTCCTAGAAAGTCTTATTTTGGACATAGCGATGGATTTTATGTTGAAGTTTATCCCAAGAATAAAGGTTTAGAGGTGGAGGGATGAACACGCATGAGCCTATTGGGCCATAAACCATGAGTTAGCAACTTTTGTAGGCTATCTAACAATTATTGATCGACTTGGCTGAACTGAAATTTTTAATTATTTAATTAAGTTCAACATATCTGTTTATTTTTCCACCTAATTTGCAGCTCCAACTGCCGAGTTTTGCCCGGTTTAGCTTAGGCTGACGAACAGATAATTTGGTTGGCTGTTAGGGGCCCAACAGCCTATGCTGTTGTGAATATTCTTGAAAATGCATGCCGCGTTACCATGAAGTGGGGTATAAAAGTAATTGCTCCCTATTTTCTTTTGACCAAGAGGATAGATGTGGGAATGAATGGTTAACGTGGCCAGCCCAAAGATACTCTCAACAGCATAAATTGGCTCCCAACCGCCAAAATTATCTCGGTGGTCACGGTTCAATTTGGTTCTTCAGTTTTTTTTTTTTATATTATATATATAATATGTAAGTATTTATAAATATATTTTATATTAAAAATATATAATATAAGAAAAATCTATATTATATATAGAAGGCTCTGACCAATCACAACCCCAGTAAATTTTGGTGCTGATTGGTTATCAGTTTTTTCAGTATCATTTGCCGGTTTTTCTTTTAGATTAACTGAAATCAAATTGATTCAATTTAATTTTTCAGTTTTTCATGAACACCCCATACATAGTTTTCAAAATCGGATCGGACGGTTGGACTGGAAAAACCGGGAACCAATCAGGTGACCGGTTTTGGTTTCCCAAAATCGGATTTTTCATAAAAACCGTTGATTTTGGTCATCAAATCGTTGACCTGGGCGGTTAACCATTCGAACCATTCTAATGGGTTTGACCGGTTTTTATTTTTTAAATTTTTAAAATTTTTTTTATTTTTTTAGTCAGAACGGATCAACTGTTTAGGTCAAACCGATAACCGGACCCCTAACCGGTTCGGTCTCCTCGTCGGTTTTAAAAACCATGCCCCTACATCAGGCTCTGCTCGTGTTAGCAGCTCTCCATATATCCATGCATGCATCCATCCAGTGGGGTTTTATTTTGACTGGATCTCTGGTCTTCCAAGACTGCTGACGGTCAACTCGTGTATTCTTTCAAAGTTCTTAACTGTCTAAAGCGTCAACTATTCAACTTTCGTCCAAATCTCCCTGACTCTCTCTCTCTCTTCCCCCCTAAAACCTTCTACATCTATTCCTTATATAAAAACCCCACTTGAACTAAAGATACTATATATTCATCCACTCATAGAAGTAAACGCTCAAAGATATCAGATCCTACCGATCGAAAATTAAAGAAGTTTCACTTGATTGTTCGCCATGGTTGGTAGCAGGAGAGAAGTAGTAGTGAAGATCATTAGCACCCAGTTTATCGAAACTGATGCTGTGAACTTCAAGTCTCTCGTTCAGAAGCTCACCGGAAAAGACTCGACGGCGGCCTCAGTGGGAACTACCAAATCATTTGGGGTTGAAAATGTAGTTAGGCCAGAGAGTGTCCCAGGTGGAACTGCAATGGTTGATGGTGCTTCAATGTCTATTGACCTCAAGGAGTTAGATAGATTGCTAATGGGGTTGCCTTCAATGGATGAACTGTGTGGCTTCTTGCCTGACTAAACTGGCTATCATTCATTTTCTGCACATTTGTTTTATTTTTATTTCTCTCTCTCTATATATATTTGGTATGTTAAAACTTTAAATGTCCTCAGTGTTTGAGAAGGTTTCCTTCAGATCTGGACAGCAATAGTATTGATGATCTGACTGTTATTTTTGTAATGAAAAAGTGAAATGTGTTGTTTGATAAGTCCTTTTACGAAAATATTCTCACAACCCAGATGGTCAAAGGATATACCGAGATTTTGGAGTTTTGTCTTTGAGGTTCAGTTTGGAAGGAGTACAAATACAAATATATACAATATAAATACATACAAAATAAAATAAAATATAAGGCTTTGCATTTATACTCTACCAAAGGCTCTGTTTGGAAAGAGTATAAATGCAAATATGTATAAAATAAATATATATAAAATAATACAAAATATAAGATTGTTCACTCTATATATTTACATTTGTACTCCTTCCGATTTCAGTCTAAAGATTTAAGACCGGTTGAGACTCCACAAAAAGACTTCTCAAACGCCCCTAAATGGATTAGATTGGAGGTAGCTAGAAGTGTTGGAATTCAGTCTAAATAGTTAGAAAAAGAAAAAAGAATACTATTGATTCGAATAGATTTTTGCGACTTCTGAATTGGATCTTGGCATGTCTAATCATAAAGTAACACTACAGAAAAATTTCAAGGCCCAATTTAATGTTAAGATAATATGTGTAATTCAAATCAAATAGGAGATTGCTAGTTCTTTTTTGGTCTACGAATTAACAATTTGCATCAATTTTCTGCGTTTACATTGGAGACAATTCTACTCAGAGAATTCACGTGCGTTTGAAGAGGGATGAGTTTGGACTTCTCCAGCTTTGTAAGAATATAATTGATGAAGAGTTTCTAGAAGAAAAAGAGAGTTCAAAGAAGTAATGAATTCTGGTGGGTTTCTCGTTTCCAAATTCAGAACTTGAATTTCGTCGCTAGAGACTCTGAGCAGGAGACGCAGCAGAGTGAGTTTCGCCAAGATCATTCAACTCATAAATGCCCTGGTTTAATTTCTAGGAAGTAATTTCTCTATAGAGACACGAGAAGCATCAGAGTAACTCTCATACATCTTTTCTTATTGCCTCGACTTTTAAGAAAGTAGTTTTTAGGAATTGATGATGTGCAATCTGACAGTTTCTTATCGGAGGACAGTTTAAAAATTGGGCTAGTGATGTGGTCTGGTTAAGCTGTAAGAGAAGGTAGTCGGAGTGTTCTGGGGTACTTTACCTAGTGTGGGATTTCAATGCTTAAGTTAGTGATGTGGAGATTTTAGAGAATTGAGAGCTTGAATTTAAGAGAATAAAGAGTTAAATCACGATTACCTTGTGATGCTAGAGGTGAAACCTTTATATAGGCAGGCCTCGATTTAGCTGAATGGTCCGAGGTGCCCGAAGTGATCAAGATCACTGAGGTGTCACCAAGTTAGTCAGTTGCTCCACATGTCATCACATCATTGGACTGACCAAATTATCTATCATGAGGAATCATTGTCGTCATCATCTCAGGTCATCTATATTCTTCTTCTACTTCCAAACACAAATTGAATTGAAGAAAATGTAGCATTAATTATGTATTCCTAACTTTCTGTTGCCTAGCAAAAAGCTTATAGTTGTGGGTTGTCTTTAGGCTCGAGACAAATCATGAGACATTATTTGGGTCAAAGTGTTACTTACATTTCTTCCATCTGCTTTCACAGAGTGCTCTTTACACTGATCCCAATATGTTCAGGCCATGGAGAACATTTTCCGTACTTCTATTTATTATTCATGGGAGATGTTTCTAATATGCGATGGGATGGATGTCCCTGTAAGGTCGGTGTGAGGAATTCTTAGGAAGAGCAGATCCCAATTCACTTCCAATTACTAAAAGGTATTTTTTGTAAGGCATTTGACCAAAGTGCGCTTGCTGTTTGGTGGTTTTTCTTGGATAGATATACGAAAAGGCTTTTATTTATTTAATATTTCTTTTTTCAGGAGGTTTCAGTACACAGTGGTAGCCCATCGCGTTCCCCAAACCCATTGACCCCAACCCTAGTGGCAACCGGATTTGATTCCAAGGGCTGAGTCTCAATAATATATGTCCATATTGTGGGGACCCAGGGCTGACCTTGCCTAGCCTTGTCTGCAAATTTTTGACTTATGCCCTGGGTTTTGTGTTCAGTATCGACCCATCCTGTAATATAATTTTATTACATATATATATGGTTTATTTATATATAATATTTTATATTTTTATAATGTATAATATATATATATATATATAATATAATTTCATAACATAGGCCCAAAGCTTGGTCGTATAGACCTGCACCTGATTTATGGCTCTTATATAGCTACAAAGCCTAGCCTGGGCATGGCTTGATCCATGATCACCCATTGGGGGGAAGTATTATAAAAGGCGGAATTAATTCATTTTAAGTGAGGACCGAGGGGTGGACTTTGGTTGAGCTGAATCTTTGATGAGCAAAAAGGGGGAATTGTTGATTTTGAAGCCAGGAGAAAGATGATTTTTCTTAGGCTCAGTTTGGAAGGAGTACAAATATGAATATGTAGAGTGCAAAACCTTATATTTTGTATTATTTTGTATGTATTTGCACAGTATATATTTGTATTTGTATTCTTTCTAAACTCAGCCTTAGGCTCAGTTTGGAAGGAGTATAAATGCAAATTTGTAGAGTGCAAAACCTTGTATTTCGTATTATTTCATACGTATTTGTATAGTACATATTTGCATTTGTACTCTTTCCAAACTCAGCCAAGCTCAAAAATATATTTAGAAATCAGTTTTGCCCAAGGAATTCCCATTAGTGAATTCAATCCGTTTAGTTGAAAAGAAAACTAATTGCCTTCGGGAATTCCAACTTTCCTTATAGCTTAGAAAGATAAATCAATGTGAATGAGAGGAAGGTAATGTGCAAAAGAGATTCAGGCCCGTTGGTTCACAGTTGGAATTGGAATCAAAATTCCTTGGAATTACTATCAAAATGGTCTATGTCTATTATTTTCATAGTCCGTTTGGTTCATATAAGAATCTGGATGGGAGTTGGAATCAGATGGAATGAAATTTCATTCCCAAGAGAGGGGAGGGAATGGCCATTCCACCAGGAATAAGAATGGGATTATGATTCCGCCCAATCAAACAGTTGAAGTCAGAATGGCCCATTCCGATACCAATTACATACTCTCCATTCCCAAGAACCAAATGAACCCTTAGATATCCACTGCCGCTATCTTGACTAGCACCATTGGTGAGGGCCAAGCCGCACTAATTTCAGTCAAGGATATAGTGAATAAATAATTTGTTGTGAAATATTTAAAATGAATCTAAAATTTAAAGTGAAGTTGGAATCTACAATGTAGGATTAATTTGTTAATAGCCAAAAATTTTGATAAAAAAATTAAATATGTATTTATTACGTTAGATACATTATCTTTGGAAATATGGAGTGAAAATAATTTGGCATATTTTTCTTGTAATTATATCGTAATGAGGGTAATAGTCGAGGTAAGGCTTCGGCTTTGGTCGTCGGGAGTAGTGGTCACTATGCCTTTGGATTTGTCAGCCGAGGGGTGTCTTGCAATGGCGTCGTTTTCACTGTGTGCTTCGTCCCTCTTCGGTTCAGAAGCGCATCTGGTGCGGGTGCTTCGGTTTGGCGGAGGTGTCCCATATCACACACGGTCAGGTCGCATCAGGGACCTATCGTGCGGGGACAGTCACTCTGGTAGGCGCGTGTTTGCCGGGTTGAGCGGTCCACCCGGTGGTTCGGGATGGGTGGGCCCTGCGATTCTTTCTGCAGGCTGTGGTGGGCGAGCCTTGCGGTCCACCCAGTGTCATTGTCTTCCAAGGGCATGTGCTAGAAGGTGTGGTAGAACTGGTTCATAGAAGCGGAGGGCTCCCATGACCATTGGATCCGTGTTGATCTGAACCATTGCTTGGGCGTTGTTTTGCCTTCCGAGGACGAGAGCCGGGTGGCACATTGTAGTTGGATGGTGGAAGCGGAGATGTCTCAGCCATCAGATTCAGTGAGATCCAGGCCGTCCATTTTCCTTTAAATAGGGGCCCTAGTGGTGACTTTCCCCTTCATTTGAACTTAAATGCCCTTGTTATCGAGTGAACTCAGCTTCCCAGCTCTCAATCCTCCAAGACTTTCCCAGCTCCTCCATTCTCTAGGACATTTTGTCTTCACTTCCTTAGGTAATCGACTATGTCATTTTCAGACTTCAACCCTGAATGCCATGAACTCCAAAACACCTCGGGAGGGAGCTCCCCTGCAACCCCTTCCCCTCTGTCTTCTCTAGGTTCCATAGCCGTAGCCCCCTTCGTTGGGAGGTGGCCATACTGAGGGAAAGGTTAGCCTCGGGGGGTTCCGAGGGCAGCCCTTGGGGAAATAACTCTCCCCATGAAAGCACTGCATTGGCGTTTCCGAGGGAGCCCGAAGGGTCTCCTCTCTCCGAGGAGGATGTCATGGAAGTCGTCGCTGGACCGGTTGGAGGAAGTGCTGCCCGAAGGGTGGCTGACCCTGGTGTTCCGCATACCCTACTCTTATGACCTGAGGGTCCCCAATGTGGGTGATCGGCCGTGGACCCCCGAGGAGGGGGAAATTTGTGTCTACTAGCATTTTTTCGACTGTGGCCTTAAGGTTTCCCCTCCCTTCTTTAATCTCTGAGTTGCTAGAGTGGTACGATATCACTATCAGTAAACTCGTACCCAACGTCCTTATGACCATCGTAGCGATGATAGTGTGGGCTCAGCTCAGGGGTGTGGAGTTGACTTTGAGGATGTTCCGTAACATGTTTGTGTCGAGGAAGCACATTTCCAAGGCGAAGCCGTTGGTGGAGGTTGCAGCTGTAGCTCAGTTGCTTGTGATGGGGACATTCCAGGCGAAGCCGTTGGTGGAGGAGGAGGTCCCCCTAGTCTTCACTGGGATTAGCCCAGCCCCCCTCGGTAGGAGAGGTTTTGTGGTTACATA